GCTATGGGAGGAGAGAGAGGGAGGTCAATGGTGGTGGTGGTGGTGGGGGGGACATCTGTAATACTTTCAAAAATAAAAATAAATTTAAAATGATATTAATATTATAAAATAACAATAAATGAATTATTGAAAGGGAAGAATTAAATTTCATGGAGAACAGTATTGACCTTATAAATTTTAGCAGATTGCAGTTAAAAAGATGAATCAAGGCTTTTAATTTTTTAAATAGAATTATGGTCAAGGTTTTCCTCTTTGCCATTGATGGCTCTTTATGAATATAAACACAAAGATAAAATATGTTTACAAAACTGTCTCTGAAACTCATTATTCTTCTCAACAAAATGATATGGTCTTTCAATTTCAAATTCTTTGAAATATTTCAAAATCTTGATCAAAACTAGTGTAGAATCATTAGATGTTTAAAGAAAAAGAGAGGAATTGTTCTTATTTAAATACTTAAATTTATGTGAACATTGCAAAAAAAATCCTACATTTTATTATATAGTTTTCTTAAAACCTATGATATTTTCTATATGGCAAAGCTTGATTTTGTGAGTCAAAAGATTCTGAACATTTTATCCTAGGCACACCACTAGAGAAGAATTATTGGAATCAGACTGAGACGTACTGTCAGAATTAGCTTCAGACCTATGACGTCATTAACAAAGGAAAAGAAAAGAGTATATTCTAAATATGTCAGGAACTATTAATTAACCACTGAGTGATAGAGAAAATCAGAATGAATATGAAGGAAATCTCAACTCTTTAGGACTAAATGACATTGATGGTACTACTTGTCAAGTTTTCTAATATGTAGTTAAAACAGTACTTATAAGAAAATGTATAGATTTGCACAGTTTTCAGGAAATTAATTAACAAATTGGTCACTCAACAAGTTGTACTCAACAATGGTGCAAAGAAATAAGAAATAAAGGATTAAAGTGTGGATAGAAATCATTGAAATTGAGAGCAGAGATTTGAGAGAATTAATATCACATATAACTGTGTGAGATGATGAATGTTAACTAAACTTACTGTGGTAACAATTTCACAATATATACATATTTTAAGTTATTTGTTGTATGACTTAAACTAATACTATTTTATATGTCAATTATAATTTCATAAAACTGGAAAAATACTAAGGTAAACTTTAGGTAAGTATAATAATCAAGAAGAGAAAAATCAAATTAAGTATCTAAAAAGAGTAAGTAATATTGGTGTATCATAAAAAAAACTAAAAATGACTATTTGAAGTAATTTATGGTAATAAATTTGAAAAACTGATGAAATAAATGGTTGTTTCTGCACAAGTAGAAAAATGCCAATTCTAATCAGAAACTATGATTAAACAAATAACAATTAAAGAAATGGTATTCATAAATGCTAACGAAAAACAAATACTAGAGCTAGATAGTTTTTGCTGGAGTGATATCAACAATTCAATGAGTAAAGAACACTGCTGTCACTTAAAAGAAATTATTCTAGAAAACAGAAAAATAAATAAAGAAGCTTAACTCATTATATGAAGCCAATTATTATCTTGTTGACAAAAGAAGATATGAAAAGCTAAAAAAAGTTGTATTTCACTTATGAACACAGTTGCAAAAATACAAAAATGTAGCAATAAAACATATTGAAAATATAACATGATGCAATTCATGAACACGTTTATGGCAGTTTAGTTACATTTGACACTACTGGGATCTACAGACTGAGAAAATTTATTAGGAGGATCCCCTTTTAAATGGACTGATATTAACCTTTGGTATACATGATTTGATTAAGCACTGCAGTGTTGTCATTGTTTTTCTCTATGTGACCAATGTTTAAGGATTTTTAGAAGTGCCCTCATTGAAAATTTCCATAAGTCCTTTTTGAGTTGAAATGCAATGGCAGAAACTATCTAAATAGATGATGTCAATTTAAAATAGTCGGGTTAAACTTTAATAGCCACCAGCCACTGTTTAATAAATGTTCGTTCTCCGCTAAGCCTGTGCCGAGCACTTGCACACATCATTTCTTTTAATTCTCATAGAGCCTTTATCGTGGAAATCTTTTATCACCTCTTCTTTACAGCAGAGGAAATTGAGGGCCAGAGATATATTACTAGCTTGAGCATTGAGTTATGCTCTCTCGCGCTTTCTTTAAACAAATAATGCAAGCACCAATAATCCATGGAGGTACATTAGCACCGCAAATTTTATTGTCTTGACATTCCTGGTCTGTACCATTTTCTCTACAGGAAGACTCTTTACCCATGAGTTAAATTTAGATCAATTTCCCTAAATAAGAAAAATACGTTACATTTATATGGTGCATATTAGTGCCAAACGTTGATCTGAGCACTTACATTAATATCTATACATTAACATCTATACATATATATGTGAGCACATAAATTACCTTATTGTATTCCAGTTTTATTGATGAAGAGTCTGGGGCCCAGAATGGTTAAGAAACTTGCCCAGGTTCACACAGTTAGTAAACGGCAGAGCACATCCAAACGCAGGCCATCTGGCTCCAGAGTCTGGGCATTTGATAACTATACTTTGTATTACTGATTCCTTGGGTTGCAGCCAGAGAATGCAATCATCCTGGAGATACCAGCATGGAAGCTTCGTGAGAGTCTTTGTTTCTTCACTGTTGTATCTTCATCACCCGAAAATAGCAGGTGCTTAATAAATGCTGTATATGTTACCTGAATGACTGATGAATCCCCAACTATGTGCAAGGTAAAATGCTTGGTAGCTAGAAAAACCAAAATGAACCAAGTATGAATAAATGAATATATACATAGTTGATTTCTCGATACATTTAACATATATTTCTCAACAGAATAATTACCATTAAAATTGACATGCAGGTATTCCTATCACTAGGTGAGCAAAATCTCCCAGTTTTGCCTCTCTGTCATGTCTCAAAGTTGGCATCAATCTAGCACATTTTAGTCCCCCCCCCCCTTTTTTTTTTGCCAAATGAGAAGGAACTAATCACCAGGCAGAAACAATGTTCTGCCCACTGTGTGCCTTTCAGTTTCCCCTGCTTCCTGGACATTTTGTATTACTTAGGGTTCTTCTTGTTAACTCTCTGCACACCCTCTCCCCTCACCTCTTAACTGCTGTCAGGGTTAAGTACCAAACAGGAGGAGCAGTTACTCAGTAACCCCTACTTTGCACAGAAAACTGTCAGAAAAGTTGGCCTCTTGGAGCCAAATTGGCATCCCTGTTACAGGAACCTTTTCACCTATTCCTAATAATTGGATACTCAACATGCCTTCAACTGTTTATCAATAGAACCTATTTTTAAAGCATCTGGAGCTGTGTCAGGATAGAGCTCATCAGAGACAGTAAGTGTATAGCATAAAGCAAACTGCAATAGCAAACCATATTAAACTTTTTCAATTATTTTAATAGTTTCAAATACTAGGAAAAATGTAATTTAAAGATGTTAGCATTAAAAATAACAGAATCTTTAGTAAAAGTGCTACTTTATAAAACTTGATATGCATATGATTCCGTTTTCCATTAAAACACAACCTTCGGTCATACCTTACAATTACTCTACTGAGCATTAAAGAATGGAAGATAGTTTGTAATAAAAAAGGGTTCAACTTGTGCTTCTCAAGCCATAAATATACTTAAAGGTATTAGGGAGAAAATTGTGAAACCAAGGAGAACAGGGGCTTCTTCAAGAAATGGTAATTCTACTTTAAGTTTTTGTTGTTATTATATGTGTGTATGTATATTTTAAATTAAATGAGGTGTCACCTCACACATGTCAGAATGGTTATCATTAATAATCAACAAATGACAAATGCTGGAGAGGATGTGGAGAAAAGGGAACCCTAGTACACTGCTGGTGGGAATGCAGACTGGTGCAGCCACTGTGGAAAACAGTATGGAGTTTCATCAAAAAATTAAAAATGGAGCTCCCATTTGACCCAGTAATCTCACTTCTAGGAATGTATCCCAAGAAATCAGAAACACCAATCAGAAAGGATATATGTGCCCCTGTGTTCATAGCAGCACCATTTACAATAGCTAAGATCTGGAAACAGCTGAAGTGACCATCAATAGATGAGAGGATAAAAAAAAAACTGTGGTACATTTACATAATGGAATACTACGCAGCTATAAAAGAAGAAGTATCTCTTACCCTTTGATACAGCACTGAGGGATGAGGAGAGTATTATGCTAGGTGAAATAAGTCAGTTAGAGGAAGACAAGTATCACATGATCTCACTCATATGTGGAATCCATTGAACAAAATAAAATGATGAACAAAATAGATCCAGAAACACAAAGCATGGAACAGATTGACGAATTTCAGAGGGGAAGTGGGGGGCGGGGTTTATGGGTGGGTGGGTAGAGATTAACCAAAGAACTTATATGAAAATATGCATAGCCTATGCACACAGACAAAAGTGTGGTAAAGTCCTAGGGGCGTGTAGGGTGGAGGGGGTCAATGGTAAAAAAGGGATAGGTGTAATACTTTCAACAATAAATATAAATTAATAAAAATAAATTAATTAAAAATAGAGTGCACTATACTGTAGGACAGAATCTAACACTTGCCTTCAACTGTAAGCTAGAATAGGACAGTGGGCTTATAACTTGCCACTTAGGACTTCATAGGTTGTACCCACCACCTACTTCTTCAACCCACCTGTCTGTCTCACATAGCAGGCATGTGGGGGTGGAAGAGATTTTCCCTATACTCCTAGGAGCTCTTGTGTCAATGTGTTTGGTAATCACTGTGAGGTACCTATGTTCTCCACTGGTGGTTTGGGTGCACAATCAAACTATTCTTTGATAAGGTGAGACGTTTTATCCATGGTAAAAATGTGTAAAGATCATAGACCATTTGAACAGAACTTTGGATCCACTTGTGGATCTTTCGATAAACTCAGACCAACCGCAAAGACCGGAAATGAATCATTGACAAATTAGTAGGTGGACTAAAGTTATAAATAGTTTAAAAATACCACATATAGTCACATTGTGACTTCTCCCTGTTAAATAAAATGAACTTTGTAAAGTGCTTCTGATAGTGCCACACAGAATGCATTCTGTGTCTGTGATTATGTTATTATTCCCTGTTAATTGGACAAGAATCAGAGCTCTCAGCTGAAACTCTTGAAATAATAGATCCCGTTTGATTTCTATGCAAATTACCACCATTTCTAACAATGCACAATCACTTCTACATTTAAAACATAACTCATTATCAATAATCTCTGGATAAAATATATAATACAAAATTCTGATGAATATAAGGATCCGCGTCTTTCAGTTGTTTATGGAATCAGTCTTTTTGTAAAAGGTTACTCTATAAGCAAATTGTACTTAAAGGATTCTATAGCAGGTATTTGCTGATTTTTACTACCTGGCAATTACTGTCTCTTTTTCTGATAATAGCACCCCACTTTCCTACTGGAACACTACCTCTCCTCTCCTGTGTGCAATCTTTGGGGCTAAGAGAATGCTGTCTCCCCCTTTCCCAAGCAGTGCTGAGCAGGGAGCCAGGCCATTCAAACTCACTCTCTGGGACTTTAAATTTGGAATTGAAGGGCTCCCAGGGGGAAAAGTTGGGCCGAATTAATCACAGTGGGATTCTCTGAGAAGGCAACTTAGTGAACTCTGCTACCTGGGTCCAAGGAGCTTCCCAGGATCCTGCCTTCAGTTATTGGTTTTTCAGGTATTTCTTCAGTTCCAAGAGCTACTCCAAGAGGCTTGCAATTATTTCCATTTTGTTTACATTAGTTATAATTGTTTTTAGTGCTTGAAACAATAAAATTCCTTAATTAAGCAAAATAATAATAATGTTAATAAAAAACCCCAAACTCCCCTTTTGTTTCACTTTCTGCAGGACGTGAAATGTATAATTGAATATTTCAAAGTATACCCATGAGTATTTGGATTAAAAATAAACTATATATAAATTCTCAATACAGCAAACAACTCTCTTTGCTTTATGTTAAGTCATGGACTCCATCCAGAGTTTACATATTGGGTGGTAGGTGGTGTCTAACTGAACAGCTAGCACTCTATTTAGGCAGGCTCAGAGACCAATCTGTTCCCCATGTCATCATTATAGTGTTGAGTATCATGATATCAGTATGGGATTCTGCTTTATTTATTTAGGAGGGGGGGGGTGTTTGTCTTGTTACTGTTTTGTTTTGCTTTTACTTCTCCCTACAATGTCTATGCTAAGATCCTTTACAAGAATAAAACTATAACCCTTATACATTGTGTACTACCAAAATATACCTGGCCTCAAAGTACTGCAAAATTGTTTATACTCATTGCTTCACTCTCAAGGATTCCCTTGACACCTCACATTCCACGGAACCTGGGCCTTCCTGCTCTGAGTTTCCACAGTTCTCCCATTGGATCCTGAGCCAAATGTCGCCTTCCTATGGGAGAGATGCCATTCACTCTTCGGCAAGAAGACACTGGTTGATCTCTGGAATGCTACCAAATGTGTGTTTGTGAGCCTCTTAAAGACCTCTGGACATGGGTCTGGTATTCCAGGGGGAAGCCTCTGCTCTACTTCCTCCAAACACTGGAGACGCTGCACCAACAATGCCGGTCTTAGTCACCAAGCCTTTCCCTGATTATTCCTCACAACATACTCTGGCACGTACTAGAATCCCCTGACTTATTTCTGCAGTATTTTCATCTTTAAGGATATTTCTTAGAAATTTTCAAAAACATCTCTCTGTTCCCCGCACCCCTCTCTCTTTTTCATTTTTGTCTCAGACATTTGTTCCCTGTGGTGGGCGAGCCGCCAGCTGCAGTTTCCCGTGGCTGTGAACTTCTTCATCTCGGGCACTTTCATTTTCACGGTCTTTGAAATTTCCTTTTCAATTTAGTGATTAACCTTTTTTTAGGTTGATCTTTTATCTGTTCACTCTCTGCTCCTAATCACTAATCCTTAATTGCTGTCTTTATTTAAATTAGAAGCTCTGTTTGTGGACTTCGGCTGAGGCTAGAACAATCACACCTGATGCTGAGCCCAGGAGTAACTTGGCTTGTGTGCTGCCTGCCCATAGAGAATACCGCAAACAGAGCCCCGGCTGCATGTTTTGGCATTTTCTGGCTTTCCTGGAGTGTAATTGTCATTCGGCTTTCCACACCTGTGCTTTCTATGATGATTGCCACGTTTTAGCCCATAGCAACTAGGTAAGTCAATGGAAGCCTTTTTAAAAATGGCCTCTCATTTTGGCCTGATATGTTACTACTAGAGGCCTGGTGCATGGATTCGTGCACTGATGGGGTCCCTCAGCCTGGCCTACACCCTCTTGCAATCCAGGACCCATGGGGGATTGTTGGACTGCCGGTTTTGGCCCGATCCCCACAGGCTGGGCTGAGGAACCCCAACAGTGCACAAATCCATGCACCAGGCCTCTAGTAGAGAGAGAGACATCAATGATGAGAGAGAATCATTGATTGGCTGCCTCCTGCATGACCCTGGGGGTTGAGCTTGCAACCTGGGCATGTGCCCTGACCAGGAATTGAACTGTGACCTCCTGGTTCATAGATGGATGTTCAATCCCTGAGCCAGATCACCTGAGTGAGGTATGTTAAATTTTAAAGCTAACGCAGCAAAGCAGCATATAAGGAATTCATCTAAAACAGTGTGGATATCCAGAACAGAGCTATCCTAGAGGCCTGGCCTTCGGGGATTGAAACCGGCAGTCTCACATCCCCTGAGGGATGTAGTAGTGCACAAAGTGGCAGGCACCT